TCATTATTTTCTTATAAACGTCAGTTACAATATATTTTTTTTATGATGGTGACGTGTTTTCGAAAAAATAAGGTATTGTTCAAAATCGAGATTTTTGGTGCTCAATTATTTGGAATTTGCCAAATTCCGAGCATTCCGGATAGTCGAGTTCTTACTGTAAATAATTGAGATATCTTATTTATGGATCAGTATTTACGCTGTTTGAAATTTCGGAGCGTGTATAACCATAATAACGTTCAATTTTGTTACTACTTTAATTTGGTGGTAAATAGAACAATTTTTAAAATTAACTAGAGGATACTATGGCTCATTTTAACACCCCATTATGGTTGCTGCAAAGTTTCCCCATATTATGGTTCACCATTGAACTTATTTTTCTAAAAATGCTTCTTAGATTTTTTACATTCAATGACTGAACCAAGAACCAAACAGATTTTGGTAAGATTGTTTAATTAGAAAGTACTATATAAAAACTTTAGTTCGATTTCGAACCCACGATCTCGAGCCTAGTTTTGATCCGACCCCATCTCATTTCTCAAGACTACAGTTAAAGTTTTAAGTATCTTCTACCTCGAATTCAATGTTGGAAACGAAAATATCTTCTTAATTAAGGTTTTCCGTAAAATTCTGAATTTATTGCTTGATTAAACAAAAATTGAAAAATGCTAGAAAAAATTTCATCACACAACGAAAGTCAAATTAATTTCATAGATACTGTTTAAGTTTAAGTTAAATCTTATAAAAATTGATGTCCTTGAGTTTAAATTCTTTTTTTAAAAAACGCTATTCAAGTTTTTAAACTGCACATGCCTCAGTAAAAAAGGCTATTTTTATTTTTTGATTATATGAATTTTAACTTATTTTAGCACGTTAGTCTCAAATGCATAGGATGTCGCATAATATATAAATAGATAAAAAAAATCGATTTTCGTTTAGTAAAACCTTCTACATTAGAAGTAAATTTGCTTTTAAATTAAACAAAATATTTTCGAATGTAGAACACTAACTTGCTCGTCGAATGTCTGATTTGATTTGATTTACAACCCGAACATGCATTACACAAATAAACTTGCGAGCTTACATTTTTTTTTTAAGAAGTTTTGTACTAATGAAAAACTACGCTGCTAAAAAAATAAGGAAACAAATATTGCGATCTCCATGTCTATTGGAGTTAGGTGTAATATTGTGATATGATAGAATTTAATTTTTAAAAAATTTAACAGTGAAATTACAAAATTTATGTGAGCTATAGGAATCCTTTTCATCAGAATTTTAAAGTTGCAGTAGTATTAATCGATCGATCCATAATGATTCGATTTCACGTGGATGGTTTGTTGATATGTATACTGCTCCCATCTAGAATCGACCTAAAACCTGACATAAAATACCTCAAGTGATAGACGGATCATGGGTGAGAATCTTTTTGCAATCAAGCGAACCATGGAGGTTTTACCTGCAATGTAACACAGGCATGCTTTAGTTTCATTGAAAAAGTTCTTCCTTTAGTCGAGATTTAGGCCCAAGAGATTGAGGATTCGCCTCCCAAATGTAGTAAACCGGATTCGAATCCCAGCGATGGCTGGTCGATACTAATTCCGCATCTGGCTCGATCACAGTGCTGACGTAAAATATCCTCATTTTAGACGGATCATGGCTTAGAGTCCCCTTGCCGTCCAACTAACCGAGGAAGATTTTCGTGGTTCTCCTCTCCATTTAACGAAAATGCGGGTTAGTTCCATCAAAAAGTTCTCCACGAAGGAAAAATGTCTCCCAATCCTGGAGTACTCTTGTATTCTGGATTGGGTTCAAAATTACAAAGCTAAGGAGTAGAACATTGGTAGTAGTAAACTCAAAATTGGGTTGGCTGTTCAACGACGGTTATAAAATGAAACACTTACCCGGAAGCTACCTTGTCTTCTGAGCTGGTTCTAAATTTAAAATGCTGTTAAATATAAAATGGAAGAAGGTAGATGCAAAATCGATATTGAAAGACAGTTAAACGCCAGTGATAAAATTATACATATTGTAAAATCTTTTGACAAATCTGTGAAATTAACAAGTTATCGAGTTTGCTATTGTAAAAAAGCGCTTTTCCCTATTTCTTACAAAATCATTTAGTAAAAAATAAAGTAAAAATCATCTTATCAAAAAAAAAAATTTAAAAAAAATAAATAAAATTGACATGTTCTCTTTTGAACATTAAACAATTTGTCTTCTTTTCAACCCCAAAAAAATATATAATTTAGCATATAATTCTGCCTAGCAAATACGAAATTTTGATCATTTTTTGAATCTTCTAAGCAAGAAATTTCTAAAATTAAGTTCAAATTTTTACACTATAGTAAACAAATTTTGCACTTCACGAATTTTCATCAATTTTTGTTCCTTATTCATTCAATTAAATAAATATTAATAAGATTTTGCTGAGTTAAAAAAATAACTTAAAATGAAATAACTATGAAAAATCCAATGATTTTGCCCTCTCCCCCTTTTTATATTAAACCGAAAACACCTACTTTTACTCATTAGACTTACTTCTTCAAAGAAAATTATCAGAAAATTTAAATCCAAAAAAAAAAAAAAATCCGGCTAAATAAATAAAAACAGAATAAATGAATAAAAACACTTTTGGTTAGAATAAAAAAAGAATCCGGAGTAATGAAGCAATCTACACTAAAAATCAATTAAGCCAGATCATTAATTCTAAGTAGATGTGAGTTTGATATCCTCTAAGTTGAAAGTACTTAAGAGCCGAAAGAAGCTGTGCTTTTTCTGTTTTTAATGAATTTTTGAAGCTTCGAATCGTAATGACCAAAATAGATTTGCATAGATTTTGCTTCACAATGCTTTTCTAATGTATGGTTCTGTTTGTGGTATAAGCCCCTCTCGCATTAATAGACGCATTTCAGCGCAAATCATTAAGTATCTTTTATGCTAATAAAAGTATAAAGGCGGAAGAAAAATCGTTAAAAAATTCTCAAAGTCCAGGTTTAGAAATTCAAAATTCACCTTAATGAACGACACATCATTTTTGGGATATAACATATGGTAATTCGATGATAAAAATTGAATGTTAAGGGTTGGTTCAAAATTTGAGCAGAAATTAAATGTCAGAGAGTTTTAAATTAAGTAAAGGAGTACTTACATACATAGATTTACTAATTAATTGGAGTCAATAACTAAAGTCATTAGATAAAAAATAGACTATTTTGAAGAACACATTTTTAGTAAAAGTTTTTTATTTGAATATTTGTTATTCAGAAGCTAAAAATTAGCATAAATGAAGTACTTTTATTGTAAAGGAAATATTATATTAAAAAAATGGTTTAAATGTTTAACTATAATTTTTAAATTTTCTACCATAAAAATTTAAATTTAACGTGGTTCCATTCAATTTCAATCGTAGCATTACGTAATTAAGTTTAATAATGATTAATTGAACAATAATATGGTTCAGCTTGACTTATAAGGCAGCAGATTTGAAGGATATTACGGTTTAAAGCAATCCACAATGCGTCGAACAATGTACTCATATATTTTTTTACAATGCCCACCTGGAGAATGACCTTTTTTCATTCTTTTTTTTCCAATGAGCTGCACAATCAGTCTTCCCGATGAGCAGACCTAGTGCTTTCTCCAAAAGTGATATCCACTCTTTCAGGACCACCACAATGGATGAGATACCGTTGGTCATGTTAATTTGGACGTCTAGTTTCTGCCACACTAGATGGCAGCACCGAGACTCTATTTGGATGCTAAAGTGCACTAGGAGTTTAATTTTGCCGGAAATGCCAAGAGCCAATAAGGCACTCCATGGATCCTTTACATGCCGCATAATCATACGACATGGCCGCTGAGGATTTTCTGCATCCCGAAATTCCGGTGTCTGAGCCGGGGATCGAACCCGCAGACTTGGGCTTAGAAGGCCGACGACAAACCAACTGCGCCAACCAGCCACTCGAATGACCTTTTGTCATACAGGCATCTGAAAGGCAGATTTGTTGGCCACTCTTTCAGGAGCACTATAATAGGTGGGCCAACGTTGCTCCCACAGAAAGGACAGATAGTACAGAGAATGAAAGATCATCCATGCTTAGCCCAGGATTCGAACCCAGAGCCTTTCTGATGCAAGGCCAGTCCTCTGACCCCTACTCAGGCCAGTCGGCGTGTACTCATATTACGCAATGTGTATAAACGTATTTCTAAATAGGTTGAATTTCGACGCAAAAAGCTGAGATTAGTCTGTTGTACATATTAACTGTTATTTAAACTAGTTTAAATTTAGCTAAGACATTGTTCAAAAATTTGAAGCATGATATGGCATAAGATTGTTCAAATTTTCAGTTTAATATGGTAAGTTAAACTGTATTATCTTTTAAAATTTCATGACACAATATCATCGATCAATTTGAACGGAAACGTCAGAATCAATTTAATATATCTTAAGATTGTTCAGAATTATGTTCTATTCTAGTTTAAAAACTATGGAACTTTCGAAAATACTGAAAAAAGTTTATTTATGAAATAAAAGTGGACTGAGTGGGTTCAAAAACTATTGAACTTCCAAAGACACTGAAAAAGGTCAATTCCGAATTGAAGTAGATTTGATATGGTAGAAGAACTATTCAATTCTCAAAAATACTGAAAAAAGGTTAGTTTGGAACTACAAGTAGATTGAGCTGGTTCAAAAACTATGGAACTTCCAAAAATACTGATAAAAGTCTGTTTCGAAATTAAGTAGAATTGATTTGGTAGAAAAAAAATTAATTCTCAAAATTACAGGAAAAGATCAGTTTTGAAATGGAGTAGATTTGATTCGGTTAAAAAAAAAAATGCGATTTCCAAAAGTACTGGGAAAAATTAGTTTTAAAATAGCATTGAGCTGGCTCGCAAGACGAAACTTTCAAAAATACTGAAAAAGCTAATTTTAAAAGAAAAATAGATGGAGCTTGTTCAAAAACTACCAAATTTACAAAAATACTGAAGAAAGTCAGTTTCGAAATAAAAGATTGAGCTGGTTCAAAAACAGCAAAAGTTCCAAAAGCATTGAAAAAGTTTAGTTCCGTAATGAAAGCAGATTTAAGCTAGCAATTCAAAAACTATGGAACTTTCAAAAATAGCGAAAAAGATGAGTTTCGAAACAAAGATAAATTGAGCTGGTTCGGAAATAAAAAATATTTCAACTAAATACCTTAAAATGCTTATCATTAGGAAACTCTGAGTAACTCTATTTTGCTGGAAGTTGTTTCTGCTTCTTTAAGATGATGTTTAAAATGTAAAACACGTTCGCATGTCATAAATGAAGCAATAAAGAATTTTATTTATAGCCGTAAGAATCGTCTGGCATAAATTTACTTAGATAAGAAGGGGCATTACAATGCTTATCATTTTCGGAAATCGAATCTTCTCTCCACAACTGTAAAAAAGAGTTAAATAACCATAATTAGAATGCAAAAGGCTCAGCGGGAGTCAATGCTTATAAGCAAAAGAAGAGCACTTTAGAAGCTTCTTAGAGATTATTAGGCGGAAAAAGAAATCGTAATTCTGGTGATTTAAAACAAATGGTATTGTAAAATAGGTGAGTTCTGCTTTCAAAAGAATAATTTTTCTTTTCTATTATTATAAGGACAACCTAGAAATGATAAGCATAAAAATAAATTTTTCTTATCTCTTATCGTTTAAGTTTTCGAAATCCCTCAATTCAGCATATAAAATTATTTATAAAAATCATTAGAGACAAAACATGGAATAAAAACAAATTAATGTTTACAACTGCTACATAATGAATATGATTTTACTGATTTATTAAATTGTAAATGGAATAGATTACTGATAGGTTACAGTTACAGATTTAATAAATTGCTTGATGGAATAGGTTAATTTCAGAAAGAAAAAAAAAACTTTTTTTACATCTAATTGCATCATAGAATATGAATATTTTTTACAAATACTCTTAATAGGGTTTAATGGCATTCAATTTTGCTATTATTTATGAAATTTTTGTTAAAATTGAATAGAGAGAAATTAAATTACGTTTTAAGCAAAATTGAAATGTGAAAAGGAAATTTAAAGGAAAAATTACAAAAAATTTAAGAACAAAAAACATATCATTTAAAGCTAAAAATATTTTTAAAAAAAGTTTTGATCAGAAATGAAAATTACAAAATCGTTTGCTTAAAAAAATCGTGTTATTTTTTTCTTAAATAATATTAAAATAATTTTTGACTTAGATATTTATTTAAATCAATAATTCCAAACTTGTTTAAAATGTCTAAAATATGTGTAATTTCAACTAACATGAAAATAACGTATGCTAAAATTTAATCTGAAATTTATGTTGCTGTCTGAAATAAAAATATTAGGATATTTAGGATAGAGTTCGTATTTTTTGTTCAAGAAATAAGTCAAAATTAACTGTCAACTTTTTTGCCGTCACTATCCAAAAAGAACAACTCTTTTTTAGAAGGCTCCTTTTATTTGTACATTTTTTTAAACTTTAAAATGATAAAAAGAACAAAATATTAGTAGAAAACGATTCTACAAATTATAGCTTTAAGAGTAATTTTACAACTGTCAACTAGAAACTTACACTGTTAAAGCGTATTAAGACAGTCGAAGAGTAAAAAACTAATTAGATTAAATTGTAAATTGTTTTATAAATTGAAAGCATGTTTAAACTTCTTTTAAGTATAAAACAAGAAACGACAACGAACAGCAGTTGTACGAAACAGAATCTTTACCTTAAATAAAATGCATATTTATTAACGTTGTTTTTTTTTTTTTATATATAGTTTACTTTTATATATTTAATAACTGAATGCCCGTTCTCTATACGAGGTTAAAAAAATGTGAATAATCAATTAATCTGCATACAATCAGTATCAGCAATGAAATTGCAATCGAATATCTGTAACGAAATTGTAATATATTATCAGTAACAAAATTAAGCACAAAGCTGAATAAAGTTCTTCTGAAAAAAGTCCTGTTTTTTCAACATATACCGAAATAGTTGATAAAAGTTAAAAATTACATTTTTTATTTATTTGATTTATTTGCTGCACTTTCCAGTGACTTTACGTTATAAGATTAAGCTAAACACAAGTTTAGAAATCACACCACCAAAACAAAGCATTCAGAATCTGAATATGAGAATCATTCATCATGATGCTATTGCTTGAAAAACAACTCAACAAATGATAGTCAAAATTTACCACTATCAAGTGTCATTGGCGTCAACAATTTTTACGCTCCTTTTACAAATAAGAATCTTTTCTCCAACAATTTTGCGTTTTAGTACACATTTTTTTTATAATTTCACTTACCGTTGATTTTAAATTACACAGTTTTGTAGAAAATATTTTAAAAGTGTAACGATAAACAAAATAAATATAACTTTAGATAATTTATAATTTTAGGTTTCAGATAACTTTAGAAATACTGGTGACGTAGCTTTCATACACCATTCACATTACCTGAGCAACGAATAAGGTTAAAATGGTTAAATATTAAAAAAAGAGAAGTCAACTCCTTTTTTTTTTTTTATTAAATAGAGCTGTGACCTAGCAAATATGCCTGGTGTTATCTTGTAAATATTTGATAATCAAAATTTAACTGAAGTTTAATTTAACTTTAACGCCTATATTAAACCAATGAGAAAAATTAATTTTTATAAGTTATTTCCGAAGGAACTAATTGAATTTTTTAAATGAATTTTAGTATCGGAAGTCAAAAAATTGCATCCGCTGGCCGAATTTCCAGTTAAATTCTTCAGTTTAATACAGATTTCATACGCCAAGTTGTATTTATTAACCATAACTCAGTTAATTTTTCAATTCGTACTATTAGTTCACACTCTCTCTATCTATATTTATACTTCTTGTTCAAAATTTCAATCGTGAATAAAGATACTTTTTATTCATTCACTCAAGTTCAAATACATTTTTTTAAACTTGTAGTAGATGACACTTGATGTTAATATAGTTTTTTTTTCAAATATTAATTCATTAATTAAATTTAATTAATTAATTTCAATTTTATATGGGACAAAAAAAATCTTATAAGATATTTAGCAGGATATAAATTTAGGAATAAATACCGTCAGTAGCGAAGCGAGTAGATCTCTGGAAAAAAAAAAATTTTTTTCTTTGTTAACCTAAGTAGGAATTGACTTTAATTGCTTTTTTTTATATTATTTGTTATTCAACAAGGGATAATTCCAAATTTCTTTGCAAAAACAAACCAATCCAAATTTATTCGGATTTCATTTTAATCCCATCCATTTTCGGAAGTCACTATTTCGAATGCTCAAGGATTTTAATCAAAAGTAAGATAATTGTAAATTCAAAAAAGTCCTTATTTGGTTATTTAAGAGCTTAACCAGGTGTATTTCTTCAAGGTGAATAATAAAAATTTGTAACCTTCTAAGTTAAATTAAAATCGCCCAAATAAACTAACTAGTTAAGTGAATAATGATGCCAAGGTTAACTGAAAAAACAACTTGATTATATTAAATTGACTATATTAAGCACTCTGGAATTTAGAATAAAATCATTTTTCAACGAATTTATTTGTAAGAACATTTAAATAGAAAAGAAAAGAAAACTTTTGACAAAAATGTCATATAAATTCTTTTTTTTTTAAATAATAAAATAAAATAAACGTAACGATTAAAAAAATAAATAATAATATTAACAACTAAAATAGCATAATAATGTGTTATAAATAATTATAAATTAATAATATCGGTTTACATAAAAGTAAACATGTGTTTTTAGAAGTAATAATAAAAGTAATAAGCCTCTTTAAAGTACGTTTGAAACTAATTTCACAACAAAAACGTAACTAGAATATGTGAACCTTTTGATTCATTTAAGAACGTCGACTTTTTTTTGCATAATGTTCCAACTCTAAAAAATAGTATGGTTAAAACTACCAGAATATGGTAAAATTTACCATGTTTCTGGCTCTATGGGAATACTAAAAAGCACGGTAATTTTTACCGAAGCTCTTTGGTAATGATTTTGGTAAAATTAAGAAAAAATTATTGTTCTATAGTAAGTGTTAAAAATTGGTAAAATTTGTTAATTTTATCATGATACCTTAGAGCAGGGGTCCCCAACCTTTTTGTACCAAAGAGCAAATACCAGAATATCGGTCGAATGGCGGGCACCATTTATTTTTTCAAGATAAATTTATAGTTGGTAGACATAGGGAATAATACACACTGCATATAATGCACAAAAAATTTAATTTTAAAAATTAATTTAACATATGAATATAATTAGTATTAATATCCTTGAGTAAAATAAATTATTACGAAATTGCTTGCAAAACATACAAAGTATGAGTTCATATATGCAATTCGCGAGTGGTCAGCTATATTTTGCTTTGTGCTTATATCTGTGAGGATGGCGATTTCTATTTTGGCTGTGTTTATCATCCATATTGAAAAAGTAAAAAATATTGCTTAACATTTTATGGGAAAATGGAAAACTGAAGTATTTTATCGTTGGGCACAAGCAACGGGCGCACCTAAACCGATCGAAGGGCGCCATGGTGCCCGCGGGCATAGGGTTGGGGGCCCCTGCCTTAGAGCATGGCATAAAAAAGCCATTCATTCGGATAAATTTACTTTTTAGTTTTGTATTTTTTACTAAATGAGTGATAATAGGAACTAGAATTATGCAAACTAGAATTTCCGGTTAATTGTTATCATACGAACGAAAACCATTACCACATGAATGGTTTAACCAGGTAAGGTAATTTTACTAGAATTGTTTTCTGTCCGAAGTAAGAATACTATAGTTTTGGCTACCTTGTATTACAAAACTAATGTGCAAAATAAAAGAATTAAATTAGTAAAGTCAAATTTTTTAAAAAAACACACACCTTTTCTTTCGTTTGAAATTTTGTTGGGGTGAGTTGTAAACATAGAACAATAATTTATAACGGAAATGGTCTTAAAGTAATTTTTAAAACTTAATTGAAAATAATGCCAAGTTTTCATTGGAAATATTAATGTCAAGTTGCTTTTGTACTGCATAACTTCATAGTGCACAGTTAAAAAAAAAATTTTTTTTCGTGTTTAAACCATAATATCGTTCGCAATTGTTGCAACCTTGATATGGCACTAGAATAAACCATATAATTGCACTTTTAATACTTGCTTACGCGATATTATAGTTTAAATGGAACGGAAATATACTTCAACACCATATTAAGGTAACAGCAAATTTGCACCGTAGTCTAGCTCAAGATATCGGTATCATTGTTCAACGTTTCAATTCTTTGAAGAGTGTGAAATTTGAAATCAATTAATTTTTTTTAAAATTTACTGAAATTCCTCACGTTCTAACACTATTCTCAGCTGATGGTGTTTCAACTTAGACACTATTACACAATGTTTCTGATTCAGTCATTTTTCAAACAATATTATAATGACAGTAATTTCTTTTTAAATTTTTAATGATTGGACCGATATTTAGCTAAAAATTGATTTTTTTAAATTTCTTAAAATGCTACATTACTTCCCACGAAGCTATAGCAATGAGGTTTCAAGTTAGACACTCTTACTCAATA